AACAAGACAATTCAAAGGAAAATGTTGGATTTGGGGATCTGTGGCTTATCATGAAATTTTCTTAGACATCCAAGGAAAAAAGTTTTACAACCACTCATCTACACTTCTGAATAATGAGAGATGATATTGTCTATTATAAATATCACCATTTTTGTCGGAAAAAAAAGTTGCTCTGTTGTTGTTGCTGTGATTAGTCGGAAAAGAGTTTTATTCACCATTGAATTAGCAAATAATGTAATATAATAATAATTGGGTTGAGGAGACAAACAAATTTACGTTAAGGACAAAGAATGTCGCGTTGAGGTCCGATGGTGGAGAAAAATTGTTGCTTGCTCAAGTTCTTCCGAATGGATTCTTTCTGAGAGCTTATAATATTGGCCATATGTGGGTTGAGCTTACAATTAAAAACTTAATATTTAAATCGAAGCGATATGCCATTCTGCTATTTAAGGTGTAAGCCATCAATGTCGAGAATGAATATAAGACAAAGCTTATAAGTTAAAATTTTATGAGACTACACTAAACCAGAAATGAATGTTGTTGATTTTTTTCTGAAAAACTACCATTTCTGATTAGACTCACAAAATTGGCTTTGCCAGAGCAGCCAAATTTTGCCATATATTCATTTAATGATGAAATTAGAAATGGCTCACCAATACTTCTAGTATATTTGAAAGACAAGTTTTACACTTATCAAGAGTTGCTGATGGTTACAAATAGGATTTCTAAAAAAATTAAAATAAAAGAAATGAGATTTAGTAATAAAATTATTCTGATCCAAAAGTTCCCTTAAATTTGACGAGCAATAATCAAAAATTATCCAAGATGCACTTCCATAAATAAATTCTTCCTTTTAGGCCGAAAATAAAATAAATAAAATTTACAATTTTTTTGATATTTTTTATTATATTTTAAATTTTTTAGATTAAATAAAATTTTAGATTAAATAAAAAGTAAAAAAATGTTAGTATTGCTTTATTATAGGCAGATTTATTTAATACATAAATTTGGGACGAATATTACGAGAAAATATTACCCAGCAATATTCGGATATATTTCTAAATGCCCAAGGGTTTGAAGTTCACGCAAAAACGCTGCCATCTGCATTGAATTCCTGTCCAAGCGTTTCATCGCAAATATTTCTTCAGTGGCACTGTGGCGAATTTTATGAACCACTCCAGATTCATCTAAATAAAATTATTTTTAAGGATGAAATAAGGATGAAATGAAATTTTATTGAAAATACGAATTCGTCTAAACGAACAGGATCTTTATTATTCAGTAATTTCCCATTATTCTGTGTGCACACAAAAATTCGGACTGCATAAGTTTTCATTCCAACCCCTTGCTATACGATGGTTCTAGAAAGATTCTGGAAAGATTTTTAAGCAGATAATTTAAATTAAACGACCAGTTAAATTTTAATCTACTTTTGAAAAGGAACCAATATCTTAAATGAAGTTAGTATGGCGAAAGTTAATACGAATGAACAAGTGGAGCCGCTAAGATCATAAACGGTGCCCATATGGCCCGTTGTGGTAGAAGCAACTTTAGCAAATTTGAGACTTTAAGAAAGTAAAATCCAAGGTTAATAATTTATTGAAACCTCAAACGACCTATATAAAGAGATAAGTTGTCGACGAAGTTCGCTGGTACAGGTGAGGGCTTAAGAGGAAGTGAAGAGATTGGAGAAGGAAGGAAGAAAAGAAGGTTGATTCCCAGTTAGCGTTAGGGCTTAATTTTCTATCATTGAATTTTTCAATACTTTTTTTTACTATATTTTGAAACATCTCGCACTATTTATCACGAAGTTGCGGTTATCTGCATGATGTATCAGATTTCATTATTCAAGGAAACACTCTTCACCTAAATTCGACAAACATGTCGATGAACCATGTCGTTTTACATGAGTTGCAGTCCAAACTGCAAAATATGTCCCTTGTGCTTATGAACTGAAAAAATGCATCGCCGTTGGCTGGTTTCAACTGCATGTGGTAGTTTCAAAGTTTTCTATTGAAATTCTTCTCTGATGGAGAGTTAATAAAATGCCGTATTGATGTAATTATCGGCAGTGTCCAGAAAAGAAGTCGCACATCAACATCTCATCTTGACACATAATCTTGCGCAACCACATTATTGGTGATCGCATTAATCTTTATCACGCGCATCGATGAATATTTCCGAGTAATGAAAAATTATGGGCGTTAGCACCAACTACTGGGATTTTTACTGTTAATAGTGTACTTCAGAAGATCAAGAACATTGTATTCAGATTTTCGCCTGGATTTTGTGAAATTAAAAGGCTTAAAAACGAATGGAACTCCATCATTGATAGGGAAAATGAGTGGATTTGCAATACTGATGGAGCGACATGATGCACAATTAGCATGGATAATTTGCATGGTTCATTTGGTTTGGCCTATCTAATCGCTTGTGCTTATGAAGTGAAAAAACTAATGCATCGCTAATTATGCTTGGGAAAAATTAATTAACTTCTTTGGAATAAATAATTATTTCCCCAGCACTTTCCCACAAAGAAATTTGAGAAATACGAATAAAAATTGAGAAATTCAAAAATCCAAAATAAAAAACAAAACTACTCGAAAAGTTCTCGAAATTACTACTGAATACTGAAAAAAAGTACATTTTTGATCGAATTTATCGCGATATTAGCTGATTTTTTTTGATAAATGATCTCTAACTGAACAATAATTTTTCTATATTTATCGGATTTTGTAGCTTAATTGATATAGAAAAAGCTAATTAGTGGCGGAAAAATTTATTGTTAAAGGTAAAGATAATATTACAAATTGAAGACTCTGATAAATTTAATCTTATCATTCCAAATTTTAATCAATTTATTTCATAAAACATTTAAGTTTATTTTCGCAATTTTCTTTTTTTGTTAAAAAATTGTCTAAAATTATTCAATGAAACGCTATTATATTAGAATATTGGTGGACGACTTCTGGCATATCTTCCTATGATATAAATAGGTTTTTTTTTCTAAGAGAGTTAAGCATTTCCGGTGTTAGCTTCGGTGTTAGCTTTTATTCACCGGTTCGTTGGACCAGGCTAATTTTGTTAGACAAGTTCGTGAAAGTGAGAAAAGATTAGCTAAGCCGATAAGAAGCGCTGATTTCACTTGGCGATAAAAGTATGTGTGAGGTGACTCGATACCAGGATTTTGAGCGAAAGATTTTGTGCTTGCTCGTAGCACTTCGAACTGTTCCTCTTTTTTTTAAAATTTATTTTGCTTTTTAATTCATTTCTCTATGTATCATTTCTATTCACTTTGATCTCGTTTGTTCACTGCGCTTAGTTTTCAGTAATATTTAAAGTAAATAGAACAGATGGAAAAAAATCTAGTTTTTCCAAAAAAACACAGCTCCAAAGTTTGACAAAAAATTCAGTTGAGATGTCGCAAAAAATTAAATTGCATTTGTTTAGTATGAGCCAGAACTTGGTGCCTGCCAAGCTATGCTATGATATTTCTTCCTGATAACGACCGAAAAATGATGAAAATAAGAACAGACTGTGATCAGTCTAAGCAACTATGCATTAATCATATGATGTGAGATGTGGAGTAGAGAATATAAGCTAAATTGATAAGAACCCGCGATTTTAACCTTCCCAATTCTGGCGCAATCGATAAATTAAAGGTTATGAAGAATAGTCCCAAGAAAGTACAAAATACAACGGAATCTAAAGGTATTATACCAATATGAAGGTCTTTATAGACCTTTATAGCAGTACAGTGAAGGTCCTGATTTTCAATTTTTTCCTTCCGATTTATAAATTTTGAAATAAAATTCTGATACTACTTTAGTGTATTCAAACGCTCATAACTGCTTCACTGTTATCACTCTTTCATGCTTATATGTTCACGCTAATCATTTATAAAATCCCCATGAAACTATAAAAGAGGGGCCACTCTAATATTTAACACCTCGTATATTTTCTAGAAACAGAATGCGTTATTATTTATCTCCTAATATTTGTAATGGACTTCGCACATATCCACTTTGCATACATCCAAAATGTTTGCACCATAATTGTCATCGTAATAGTCACACTTGCAAATTCGAATTCGGCACCACATTTGGCTCTCAGTAGCAGTTAAAGAAATACTTAAACGTTTCACAGAATGCGAAATATTGCGAAGCACCTCAGGAAACAATTTCTTCCCAGTAAGATTTCAAAGCGAACGCTATTACGGAATAAAAATTTCAAAAATCTAATTCCTCCCTACATATTTCCGCACAAATGAGGACGTCCAAATATTTCCCCCTATCACTAATCATCCATTATAATTAATCTCAAACTTCATCCGGCACCACATACATCATTCATCACAATTTCTTCAAAGGCGATAAAATTTCCACCTCAACTAAAATTAAAAGAATTCCTTTAATGCTATAATATACGTATATGCACGTTTAAATACGTCTGACAGAAAAGCTATTACCAATAACTCCATTTTATTCAAACAAAAAATATTTTAAATTATTTTTAATGAAACTTTAAATTAAACTCTAAACTTTAAATTATAAAATTAAAATTAAATAAAGAAACCGTCAAACAAATTTTTTTCAGAATAATATATGCAACTCAACCTATGCGAATCACTTGTCAATAATTTTCTGAATTTCTTTGTGTAAATTCCTCCTCCCACAACAAAATGAAATGAAACTTTGGTGGAAAAAAATAAATCTGCAAAGAATAAAAGTCAAAAATTTATTAAAACGAAAAAAAAGAAACGACAACAATAAAACCCAAAGATATGGGATATAGCCATGAAAAAAAAGGAAAAGATGTGGAATGGAAAGGGACAGTGATTTTAATTATAAATCTGAACTCAAAAAGATAGAGAAAGCTAACTTTGTCTAACTTATTCCATAGGATAATAACCAAATACAAACTGCAGCCCTATTTAAAAAGTGAAAAGCAATTAATTTATATTAAAAAGGAAAATTCGAGCTGAAAGCGTAAAAGCATCTTCACTCCTCATTATCCTCTCGGAGAAAAGAATTTCGTGCCCAGATTGAATCGTCATCTTCTGACACAAAACTTTCAACTTCAGAATTAATAGAAAATTCATCATCGACTTTCTTTTCGCATAAATTTTCCACATTAGTCTTACCATGCGACATACTTTTCGAAATTGAAGAAAATTTGCGCAGAAATGCCCTTAAATAATGATTATAAATAACAAAAGAAATTTATAAATTCTTAAAAATATGAAAAATGCTTTCATTAAAATAGAATATACCATCGTTCACTGTCTGTAAAATAATGCACTACAGGTAAAGAATTTCTGCAGTTCTTATCACGATTATACATCGTATAAGCCCCCATATTATTCCACAACAGCCAATCGCCAACCTTAATTATTAAATATGATGACAATAATAGGAATAATCATGGAATGGTAATGACATAAAATATTAGGTAATGTTATAATAATAAAAAAAAACAATGTGGTGACAATGAACAAAAACATATCGCAAAAATATTTACTTTCAAAGATTTAAGACGAGTGATTGGTTGCAACACTTCATTTTCGACAGTGTTTCCAATTATACTAACATAGGTAATAACCTGTGTTTCATCATCGTGCAATGGCTCACAATGAGGCTCACAATCTTCTGCCAGTATACAGCCAAAAGATTTGTAGATGCCATCGTTAGTCTTGTAGACAATAACTACTTCATCTACATCAATTTCTGGAGAAATGTGCAAATTAAAAATGATTATCAGGATCAATAAAAAAATAAATATATCTAAATAAATGGACTAAAGCCAAAGCCGAAAGTTCACCAGTATTAGTGAGCAAAGATGCACGAGTGATATATGTTCCAATCACATTAGTAACAAGGGCGAATGCAGATGAAGCAAAATAACGACCAGGTTCAGCAATAATACGTAAATTGACAAAATGATCATCTGGAAAATACTGAAATAGAGCCGAATTGATAATTTCACTAATTTGGTTGAATGATAATCCAGTTGACATATCTGTGCTAGGAAAATCTCCAATATCAAGTATATTTAAGAGAATTCCAAATTCGGCTGCTAAATCGAACAGACGACGACACTGGGCTATAGCATAGGCATATAAACCCAGTGATAAGTTCCCAACGCAAACAGAAAATCTGAAAATATACTGGATAAAAAGAAAAATTTTTAAAACAATAGAATTAGACATTGTAAACCATATTCTTTCGCTTTTACATACATTCCGACTTGTCCACAGTGAATTACCATAATAGAATGAATATAATTCAGAACCTCGTGTTTTTTACCGAAAAAAAATGTTATGGTATATATTAAATGATAAATAGAAAGATTTCTGCGCTTATATATATTTTTCATTTTCTATTTATCCATTGTCCATTTCGATTAATCATTAAATAAAACACACCCTATCCCAACTAGATGAATATTTATTTTAGAACACAATTCGATTAAAAGAGGAGCTTCATCGATAAGGTCACATCCAATGCGCAGACGATTTTCAACAGGTCCTATACACACTCTTAGAATAACACTGAAAAACAAATTTTAAAAAATTTCACAAAGAAAAAACCAATAGTACTAACAGTAAATAGTAACACCAACAGTAAATAGCACTAATTTTTCTCTTGAAATATCTTTTATTCGAAATAAACTCTACTAAAGCTCCTTTAATAAAATTTTAACATAACATGAAAATTTCAATAACTTCAAGAGAAAATCAAAATGATTGGTAAATTTTGAAAATCCATCTACATCACTTAAATTTCACTTTGCATCAGGATGAAATGCTTTGACACGCATTAAATCATTTTCGCTTTGGCATATTAGACATTGTAAACCATATTCTTTCGCTTTACATACATTCCGTCTTGTCCACAGTGGATTACCATAAATAATTCGATCAATTCCAATTAAATCTAATGCCTAAATTGAAGAGAATCGTTCAAAAAAAATTCCAGAAATAATAAACAGAAGAGCAGTGAATAGGCAGCAATAGTAACCTTTTCAACGTCATCACCACTTGCGCAAAAAAATCCAAAATTTGGATAATGAGCAAGTAAATGCAAAAGAACTGGATCTGAATTGCATTGCAACGCATAAAATGGTTGCACCCGAGGCAATGATATACACCAATATTGCATCAGCTCATCAATTCGTCCTACATCCATCACAAAAAATGATCCGTTATCAGCCTAAATTTAAAATTTCCAGAAAAGGAAATACAAATTCTATGTTATTTTAAAATAAAGGAAAAATTTTATGATTTATTACCTGAATTGTTTTGTAATCAGCGAAATGTCTCGCTACAGTTCTCAAACTTTTTTCTTCATTATAAATCAGAATAGGGTTATTTGCGAAATTTTCATATCGAACAGATGGCAATTTATTATTGAAAGTATTATCGACTCTGATATCAATATCTGAGTGAAGAAAATCATATGAAGATTGTTCGACTGCGGAAATCATGATTATATGAAATCGGAAATAATGGCTCGAATGAATGAATTTCTGAAATTCGAATTTTTTTTTAAAAAAGATCAACGTATTTGAAAACTTTTTCTTTAAGAAAAGTATCCTAATAAAAAAAACATACATGAGAAAATATTACGGTGGCTTTAATAACCAAATGAAATGCAATAGCCGTTGAATGTTTGATATGCAGCGATAGACAGTGGATTTAGGAAATCGAGTGGAATATAATGAGGAGCAAGACGCTTTGCGGTAAAAATCGTTCAACGAAATTTTCAGTTGTTTTATAATTAGTTGCCTAATCACTCCACTATTTTTGTGTGGAAAATATCTTAAAAGCTGAAAAAAATTTAAGAAATCTGAAATATGAAAAAGCAACTTAGCTTGAAGCTACAAAATTCAGGAATTTTAAATGTTTTTTAAAATTGCTTAAATTTTTTCGAAAAACTGAAAAAACTCACATACTACAAAAATAATTAGATTCAGAAAATAATCAAAATAATCAGGTGGTATATCCAGTTCTACTTCTATTCCCAAGTGACTTTAACGAAAAGGCCTCACCCCACTAACCAAAAGAGTCAACCAAATCAGAAATAATAATTATTATTGAAATAAAGAAATAAATAACGAAGAATAGAAAAAATTACAAGTGAAAGATCGCCGGATCAGGATCCCACGGTGGTTCTGCGTTTATGTCAATTTTTGTCTGAGTACTGCTTCTCAATAGAGGAATGCAATCAACTTTGAGCAATTTTTTCGCCTACAAATTATAATTCAAAAATTTCTTTTAATATTTCTTTTAATAATAATTATTTTAATTAATATTAAAATTTCTTTTCATAATTTCTTTTAATAAAGAATAAAGAATAAAATTGGAACAAAATTACTACTATAAAATAGAATAGAAACTTACCAAAATCTGCGCGCGATTTAACGACCGCGATAAATTGACAAATATGTTCTCCCCAGACGAAATTTTTATTGTTTAATTATGGGCTACTCTGCCAAAATTAAAGTCCATATACGCTCGAACCCGACAGCGTATTTGGACCAATGAAAATAATGACAATGGTTGATAGAGTTTTGAGTTAAAACCCGATTATTTGAATCAATCCAATTACAATTACAATACGATGAATATGATTGACAAATATTTGATAAAAAGACGTTCTTTTCTTTCCCTTAATAATAAATAGGCATTATTATATATTTTATATATGTTCTAAAAGCGCCACTAGGATCGTTCTCTGGCTTTTCGAAGATAAATTTTTCCATGGAACTGCAAGAGAAGCAGCGAGTGTTAGCCAGCATCATCTAGAAAGATATGTTCACATCCGCCGGCCGTAAAATCGCAGCGCCAGGGATCCGAAATTAGAGCCCACTAAGCCATTCTACTCTTCTACATTTATATATAACTGTCAAATCATCAAAATTAAATGAAGGATGTCCAGCGATTTCGACAATATTAATTTGAAAATGGATTAAAAAATATTGGGTTCAGCCTTTGCCTTTTGACGAGAGTCAATCTTATCATTAAAAATGAAATTTGTATTTACCATTTCTATATTCTCTAACGAAAAAAAATTCATATAACACATTTATAAGCAGGCAAGAGACAACCAAATTTAATTCAATTACGCCTCGCTCATTATTTTTCTTTTCTCTCCTCTTTCTTCTTCTAAACTTCCACCCACCCGAGCCTTCTGCCACCCCCTAGACAGCTCCCGCCCCTCCCCCCTCCCCCACCCCTCCACAACACCGACCAACTCCACAATACCACCAACACACCCACCCAATCATCCGCCACGAATATAAAATGAAAGCAGCGGACGAAAATATCGATTACATAGTCGCCCCACCCATTTCCATTAGCTCTGCATCACTAAAAATATATCACTGATAATTAAAAAGGCGGAAGAAAGATTAAAGGGGATAACGGAGAATGTGTGGGATGGAGGTAGGGATGCCAGTTAACAGAGGAAGAGGGTTCTGAAGGGAATAGACTGATGAGAAAAAAGAATAAATATGGAAGAGTGGTGACTGGTGAATGGTGGGTGCATGATGAGTGTTCATGGCACAAAAGAACAGAAGAATGTATAAATTAATGAATAGAAGTGAAAATGCTTGAGACATTTGCTTTTTATATCAATTTACACAAATAAATAATCATCATTATCACCTTTTTTGTTTTTTTTGCTAATCATTATCATTCTTATCACTAACGTTTCTTCATTAGTTATTAGTTATTGGTTCATTCCAAGAATAACGGTTCTTCCATAAAGAAAATATTTATATTGGAGGATTAGTTAGTTTAGAGATCCAAGTAGACCGATCGCGACATATTGCAGCAGTGATTTACATTCACAATTTGGGCTATAATCATAATGGTACGAACTTATGGGAAGTGGGAATCTGAGGACAAACCATAAACCAAATTTTTGAGAAGTGAGAACCTCAAGCTATTTAATTCCCTTGTCTAATTCCATTTAAAGGTTTACCTCATGATATTCACTGCTTTGTGGATGCATCGGCAGTAGCAAAAGCATTAGCTGTAAATGTACAATATCAAGTAGAACCATGGCTATGGAGAATTTGCTATTCGCGAAATTTCTGTCGCTGTTTATTTCTATTAAAAGGATTACCATACCATAAATTGCGATTCATATTTGCAGAAACGACAAGGAAAGAGCGAGAAGACAAATCGCGCAAAAAGGAAGCAGTTTGTAAAGAGTAAGTTTACTTGGTATTACATTGCGAGATCTTCGGCATATTTCGATACTAGATAACTGAGCTGATAATAGCGACTCGAGGCCAATGCTTCTCTGAACTGCCGAAGGAATGAAGATGGAGCTATATCTGGTTCTGGTTCAACCGGTCCAGCCAAGGATATCTAGATTTGCAAAAAGGACCACGAAATTGAAGAGCACAGCGATGATTATAAAATAACTGTAGATTTTGATCGATTCGGTCAATTCAGATTATGTTGAACGATGATATACGATCTACAAGAAAGATGAAGACAAACGACGTGACATCAAATCAAGAGATTCGATATGTTGAATAAATGCTGATACGATGAAGTCAAAACGAAAGCAAGTTACGGATAGGCATTATTAGCTAACAAGTATCAGCTGATAACCGAAAAGAGATAAGAGATTCAGCTATATTTCTAATATTCCTACCACGGAAGTTAAAGTTTTAACTTTAAATCATTCTGGACAAACACTACAATTATTGCATACATCGAGTGGCACCATTGTATGCAATTTAACTACTTATTAATTAATAATTACTCAGGAAATGACAATCAAACTCTCCAGAGTTCCAGGAAAAGAAAATAATTTCCTAAAAATACGACATGCACCATTTATCAACGCTGACATAGATGAAATTGCCTGGAGCAGTTTGGATTAATTATAAGCATCTATCAGAAGAAAATCCCTTAGCATTATAGCGATTCGAGGAAGACTGAAAATAATGTCGCCTTACAACGCGAAAAATTTTGTTCCATCGAGAGGTATGATTCAGAAGATCAGTCAAGTATAACTGATGAAGGGATAAGATGGAATTTTATTTAGCCATTATGCTGCCTGGTGATAGCCTCGATTATGTTCGGCCACAGCCAAGGACGTTATAGATAATGGAACTACACGATGGTTGATCAAAATGGAATTCTGACAGGTTAGACCCATCAAAGAGCTAGTCGAACGACTCGAACTTGGACTATTTTTGGAAGATATGGCAATACTTGCAGAGCCTAAAGATCGTCCTGCTATGCAGACAAGATTGGTAATGAAATTATTGAAGTTAGGAGTTGTGTTCATAAACAATGAAATACCAAGAAATACCAAAGTGGAAACTAGGATGAATTATAAACTGGTCAAGAGTTTGGCAAATAAGAAAATTAATTTAATTCAGTTTCTCTACGGATTTGTCGGTTAATACAAGAGAGTGAACAGCTTCGACCACACGGGTATTTTCAACATGAATGTTCAAAAGGCAAAGCAAGGATCGCAAATTACATCAGCTACTGATCATTAATGGATCGACTATAAATGCGGAGACTTTCTGCCTAATTATAACGATGTTACTCGCCAGCAGCGACTGGTTTCCTGGTTTTCTCCATTTATATTAAAAACGAGTAATTTCCTTCGTTATTTATCGTGCTATATCTTATTGCCAATTTAATTCAACAACTTCACTTTGGTAGGATTAGGGCTTTAAAAGTGCTGACCTTAAGAATTTCAAATAATCTCACGGTGGTTCTTACTTTGGAAGCGTTTAATCCTCCTTATGTATTGACTTGTTCAGTCATTCTTCGCACTTTCGTTTCATATATATGAATAAATATATAATAAATCGGGTTATCCGAAAAATTTAAGCCTTTTTCTTCCGTTTGCTCTGAATTCTATGGAAAACCAACCTTTTAAATTAATTTAAATTATTACTATTACAAATTTTAAAGTGGACAGAATTTTGCTGAATTGAGATATAAATTCGTTTATTCCATTTGCATAAAGTACCGAGCTTTTAAAACTAATGAACTGCTGGAATTTGTTTTTTTAAGAACCTCACCATTACTGGTTAAACTGGCTCAGCTGGTCGCAATAGATAAATATGGAAACACGTCAGCATCAGAATCGGATTTTTGGATTTTTCTGGGATATTTACTCCTGTTGGGAGTAGAACCTCACCATCGCTCCGAATTGATCAACAACCCACTGAACCATTCTATGGCCCAACTGCTGGAATTTGTTGTTGCAAAAGAGTTCAGAGGAGTTCAGAGGAACTTGGTTGGGTTGGAAGGATACTTGTTAAGAATTTGATAAGACAAAATGTGGCAGATTTTATGGGATATTCAACGCGGTTGTTAGTTTCCATGGAATATTAGTGGTTTATATCAAATTGACAGATCGAAGATTTCGGCTACTTGGTGAGGCATAGAGATGGCTTTGAGGATCTGAAAAACTTATCAAGGAACCATTTAAAGGGCTAAGATAAAACAATGAAATTTATGGCAATACTGGCAATGTGTGTGATAAAATAATAAGGAATTTGAAAACACTGGTGAAGGATGTATGGATTATAACGCGATTCAAGTGGTATTAAGAAGTTGTTGGTGAGGTATAGCAGGATCATATGTTACTAATGGACTGGCTTAGAAAAAAAGGATGTCGAGATAGTGAAGCATATGGATTTAAGAATAATCGAGATTATGGTGAGAGATATGAGATGAAACTTGGAAGTTTTTATGGTAGACTTGGATGCTGACTGGATTCCAGATGCATCCGGACACACATTACCAAAATTGTATTGCAAATGTTGATGATAATGATATGTTAATGATATTATTGAAATTATTATTCCGCTCTTTATTTCTTTTTGATATTTTTGAATTTTAAAGAAGGCAATCTTACATTCTTCAGTTACTTCAATCCCATTCATATACTGTCATTTAAATATTTCATTTGGATCTCAAATTTCAAAATGCAAAAGGTTATGCTATCCCATATGATGATTAGGAGAAGAATGGTTAGATAATATGGCAATTCATCGTACTGCACAAATACAACGGTAATTGGAGGTTGAAAAAGTTTGAGGATAGAAGGATACGACAGTATAACAAGGCTCAAGGAGTATATATGTTGTGGTACTATATGCAAAGGTGTTATTTAACAAGTAGAAGGGGAGCCAATGTTGATTTTCACTTTACACATTTATCTTACTTACCATGTTTAAATTAACTTTTTAGGATCAAAAATTCTTTCTCTTTCTGTTCTCTTGGATCTGTTTATTAAAATATTTATAATCAACTAAAATTAAAACCAAAATTAACAAAATTCTTTATGGAATTCAACTGCAAATAATTTAATAATAATTAGCATTTATATGTTATGATTTTTGTTAATTTTTTAAAAGCTTTAGTTCAATTTGAGAAAAAAGCAAATAATAAAAAAATATAAAAGCATAAAAAAGGCATTATTCTGTTTCGGCGAGGAACAAATGGAGGAGCAGATGGAGATGGACTACTGACACGAGCCATGGGAGAGCTGGTTCTTGAACTAGTTGTCGTAGGAGGTAAAATAGCTGTACGTTGATGCATAAAAAATTATCAATTTAGATAAGAAACTTCTTCACAGAGTTTCACAGCAATAATGATTAATAACAGAAAAAAAGCCATCGAAAGATTGAAAATCGCTAAAACAAGTGAAAACAAGTAAAGATTACAAAATGCAGAAATTACTTGAATTTCGACATTCTCAATTTGTAGGCCATTTAGAAAGGCACAAAATGAATACAGTAACCCGTGACCTACAATTAAAGAATTAAAGGAAATGATGATATGAAAATAATTTTTAGAGCAATTAATAAAGGCAAAAGAAAATTAAAAAGAATCATGAAAAGATAAAATAAAGAAGACATATATATATCATTCTAGTAAGTACCATCAATCCTTGGAATATAATGCAAAAAAAAATTACGTCCTTTACATTTCCAAGCAATTCTATGGCAATGTGGTCCCATTTCTATTTAAGGTTTAAAATGATATGGTTATTTTGTTGTTACTTCGAAATGAGTCGTATGCTGCTTCGATAGATTCCTGATTCGATTCTTGTTCCTTGATGGGAGTGGATCTATCACTAAAAGTGAATCCTGAGTGATGCTGAGATCCACCTCTATCTCCAAGTGGAACTTAGATGAAGTAACCTCCGATGATCAGTAGAATCAAATCAGAAATATGATGACGGCTAATGAACTATGATAGAAAAAACGTGGGAAAAGAAGTTTACTCTATCTTTCTCTTATCAATAAATTTAGAAATACTTTAAAAAAATAAATCGGATTAATATTTAGGAATTTCGAAATGGAGTTTCAGCAGAAGAAAACATTCGAGCCATATCAGCAACTGATCTTCTATTATTCGTACTTTCATTTTCAACATTACAACTTATTGGACGAGTCGGCAAGGAATCGGGTTTGGGTGGTAATGAAGGTGGTGTAACGACAGGCATTATTCTGTTTCGGCGAGGAACAACTGGAGGAGCAGATGGAGATGGACTACTGACACGAGCCATGGGAGAGCTGGTTCTTGGACTAGTTGTCGTAGGAGGTAAAATAGCTGTACGTTGATGCAGAGTTGGATGATAAGTTGGTGAAGATTCTGATGAGGCACTATCACCTGATTTAGTCTCCCTTACATTCGCATGAATAGTTGTAGGCATCTCGTTGTCGGCAATCATATCATAAATGGCATTAAGATCATCTGTACCGTCTTTTTTAAATTCATCCAGAGCAGAATTAATAGTTGGCTGAAAAAAAAAGGTAAAAAAAAGAACTGAAAATGGTAACGAACCATAGTGTTCAAAAGATATTAAATAATTAATTAAGCTTTATATTATATATATATTAATTAATTAACTTAGAATTCAAAAATAGCTTTAAAAAAGCCTCGCTATTCGCTCCCAAAGTTCACCTTGCAGCTTTTGATATTTCTTGCTGGTTTTGGCCGATCTTTAGATACATGTGTTAGCTGAGAAACTATTGGTGGCGAATCGAATGAAATTTTTACTGCACCTTCTGAGTTACACATCTCAGTTACAACAGATTTTGGACGATGAGACCTAAATAAAAAATTCTGCCTTTCATTATAATTTTCCACACCTTTTAAAACGAAAATTACTTCTGATTTGTTCTCGGAAAGGAATCAGATTTATTATCTGCATTTGAAGAGCTTCCTTCCGCATCATCATGTCGCCAATTATCAGAATTCTTTTTATCGTCACCGTATTGCATTCGATAATCAAATACAACACTTTCAGCATATGCATTTATTTCTCTCCATTTCATTTCTCTTAAAATGTAATTAATATAATTAGCAATAACCTTAAACGGCAATCAATTGCGGGTAAGATAGCCAAACGGTCGAGCTATTCACCAGATTATCGTCTCTAAAGCTTTTTCTCTGCGTTTTAATTGATTTCATCACTATTTTTATCAATTTATTCTTTTTAATACCACAAGGCGTTTCGACATCTGGTTCTTTTTTAATACTGCCCACAACAGATTTTTTAAAAATTTGTTTTATCAGAGTTTTTTTGGTATTTGGTATATTTTTTTGGTAAATAAGCACATAGTGTTGTTTTATAAATAAATAAAAAAGAACATATTAAAAAAAAAATAAAAAATAAGCAAAAAAAATTCAAAAAAGTACAAACCGTAAATAATTTGTTATGTTAGTTATGAGGTTTGATCTAGTCGTTCCCATGTCAACAACCGTCATTCGATTTTCCAAACAATCATTCTCAACAATATGTCTGAGTGGCTCTAATAACATCTGCAATATTAAATTTCTAACAAAACAAAAAATTATGAGTATTTTGAAAGAAATTTTTTTATAGAAGACCACATACTTTCATATTACTTAGTATAGCTCTTTCCAAATTACTGATCATTTCTTCGACGCGACTTTCCAGCTGTGGATCTTCGATTGGTGAAGACGATATTGAAGTTAAAGCATGATTTATTCGCTTGCCCAATTCATTAAATCGATGACCACATCCAGCGCATCCGGTAAGTTCCTAAAGATAGTTAATAATCGAGATTACCTCAGATTTTACAAGATTTGTAGAAAAGAAAGTAAATAACCTGTTGCAAAAAATTAATTGTGGATCTCTGGAAAGACAGATTTCTGCCACTGTCCGACTTATTTCTTTCGATGTACGCTTCTATCTAAAAAAAACTAGATGAAGATGAAAAAAATCATTGGTATAGGATCTGAATATTGAAATTTTTCTTTCTTAAAGTCCTCACCATTATTGGTTATACTCATTCCGCTGGTTTATCGCACTAGACAAATATACCAGAAATATACCAAATATCCCTTGAAGATAGAAGTACAAGTGAGTGTCATCGCCAACATCATCCGAATTTTTCGATAGGTTTATTCCTATGGGGAATAGAACCTTAGTATCGGCGCTCGGAATTGAGCAACAACCCAAAGCCATTCTACTACCGAATATTGGAATATTGGGTAAATATGTAAAAAAAAAATTACTTCTGCAATGGCAGATAGTGTTTTTTGACGATCTGCTCGATTAAAAGACTCGGCAACATCCACTAGAGGATAATGTAATGATGTTAGTGTTGTATTCCTCGAAAAATATAAATCTTGTAAAAAATATTATTTAACAAGATATCTCGAAAATTATCAAATAATTATATTGGATTCGTTATTTCAACATTTTTTTAAAATTTGTCATTTGAAAAGAAAAAGACACTTACAACTTAAGTGCATGAGCGATATCTGCAAAGCCATCTCCAGTAATCTGATTTCTATCGATTATAATCGTTTTCAGAGAAACGTTAATTTGAAGAGCTTTTGCAAGTAATCTTGCTCCAAAATTACCCATTTCATTGCCTAAACAACATTCAACAATTTTACGTTATAAGCGAATGATGAATCAAAGATAGCAAAAAACCAAGTATTTTCAAAAATTTCATAAAATTATTGTGAAACAAACCGGTAATATCCAGCAATTTCAACGAAGAAGCAACACCAAGAGTATTCAGTAAGACACTTAAATGAGAACCTAGTCGACAATCCGATAAAATTAATTCATCCAATTTCTGGAAAAAAATTTCCTCATTAAATGAGGCATAACCGAAGAAAAATAATTAATCAAAAAATTTAGAGAAATCATCACCAAAATATAAAAAAATATGAGAAAAAATTACGCTGTCATCTTCTCCAATTAATTTAACGATCTCCAAAAGAATATTCGTTAAAGTATTCACATGCTTTGTGCTTCGTCTTAAAATAGCGAAATTCGCACCACTAAGATCCAATTTCGTTAAATGAGCCATGGTGGATGCAACTGATAATATAGGCTGAATATCCATTTCTAAACAATTTTCACGAAGCGACAATGAACAGGCATCGACACCACCAAGATATGTTTCCAAAATTGCAGAACAGCTCCTTAATAATTATATCAACTATTATTTAAATTCGAAAATTAACGAAAAAATCACATCACAAAATCACATCTTACTTATCACAAGCGCCATCTAAAATCAAAGTAAATGGTTTCAGCTGTTGATTACTGGACAAACCAAGTAATAAACCCTGAAACACAGTTGAAGAATGAACTAAATATGACAAAAAGAATTGTATGGATTTTATAGACTTATTTACCAAAGCATTGATTTATAGTAAAAGTGATGACAGCAAGAACTTTCAAGCTCAATTTTGATTTAACCTTGAGTAGATCAGGATGTAAAGGTGTATGCGAAAAATCGATTAATTTTAAATTCACAACAGTTGAAAAGTATTCCTTAACTTGCTGCGCACTTTCCTTTAAACGACGACTTGCCTGGCAACCACCCAATCTACAAATACTTTCTACTTATTTATGGTTGATTTCAATAAAGATGAAAAGAATAAACTGATCCTATTCTTAAAAAATAAAAATTTTTTACTTCAGAACTTCAATTTGAAGACCACCAAACACAAGCAAAGACCATAATTTATTAATATTGAAGCCTGTATCAGAGAGATCCAAAGAACGAAGACTTGTACATAAGCACAACAGATTTAATAGATCACTTGGCTCCTAAAAAGTTAAAACCAGTTTATTGTTATTTATTGATTTTTCTATAACGACCGTTAAGATTAATTAGAAAGCGATCATATGTAAATATAAATATTCGCTAGCAAATAAAGCATAAAATGCGAAAAAGCAAAAAATTACATCCTTCAGCGGATTTCCAGAAAGATTCAAAGAGCAAAGCACTAAATTTTCCATGGCGGATTTATGCTTTAATCCTTGGCAAAGACCAGAAGCAAGTAAATGGGTACTTTTTTCAGTTAACATACATTCCGATAATGTTATTGATTTAAGCGTTTTGATCTTTGGCAAGACCGATGATAATGCCAGAAAACCTGCAGGGATTCTCAGCAATAAATTTATCCAACTATTAAATTATATTAATCTATCTAATAAAAGTACTAATTCATCTATTGTTTTAATATTTAAAATCAAAGAAAAAAAACTTCAGGAAGTGCCAAAGATAAACCAGTTAAACGATAAAGATTAAATTCAAACTGATTTAACAAAGATTTTGCCATAAAATTGTGAAATCAAAGGCAATGGAAAGCTATAAAATGCCTTTTTTGTCATCCAAAAAATTTTTAGAAAAGTCGATATGTACAAGCGGAATATTTGCATTGAATTGTAAAGCATTCGCAAATAACGCGATAAAATCCCTGAAAGATTTATTTTTAGTGAATGAAATAACAAAAAAAGAATATGAAGGCCATTTTACACTTAGGATTATTTTAATCTTCTGCGGATTGCAAATCTTTCACGCAGAAATTATTGCAAATAATTCAAAATCAGAAAATTAACCGAGGTAATGAACAATTCTTTAGCGTTAATGATGCAAGAGATTGCGAATTTCTCACAATTCCAATAATGATATCAACCAGTTCTGTTGATAATTTTATTCCATCTACAAATAAATTTGTAAAGTATGAAGAATATTGACAAACACTCAAAATTGGAACCAAATCCCTGAAAAAAAAATAAACATAAATATATGAAAAAAAATTAAACATCTTTAGAAAAAATAATATGAAATTACTATCTCACACAACAACGATTTGCAGAATTAAAATGATAACCAATGAAAATGAAACAACGACAAAAACTGCAAAAAAAGTGGCAGAAAAACTGAATACCTCGGCATTAAGTGGGTAAAATCATCAAGTCGAAGAATTCGCAAATGATGAGACTCATAAATCTTTTCCATGTCCTAAGATAAAATAAATCAAAAGGACGAAAATAATAATAATAAAACAGTTGAAAATCTATAAAATAAGATTATACCACATTATATTTTATATTTTATAAAATAACCTTACCCAAACAACTTCATCACGAAACGGTTGATCATAATAATCACAGAGTGCAGCATAAGATCTTCGAAAATTATGACAAGCTAACAATGGGAGACTACAAGGCAATGCATTGAATTCATCGTATAATTCTGCAGGAAAAATTTCAATTTGATTCCTCAAAATTTTAATAAAATTAGAAATTTTGCGGTAAATTCAAAAATTACAAAAAAAACAATGGTTTTCCTCTGAAAAGGTAAAGGCAACGCAAGTAAATAGCGGTACAGATTATTATATTGAAAGCCAACGCTTTGGCTCCGGTCTCCGACAGAAATAAGACTGTTGTTGAGAAACTCCGGTAGCGAGCACCTGTCTACCGCCTAATAATTTCATGGCAAAAATTTCTAGCAGTATTAATAGTCAATAGATCGAATATAATCAGAAATAGTAAAATAGTAAAAGTTAAAAAAATAGTATTTTTGTTTCGTAGGTTATGTCAAATATAATACTTCTTTCCGTTTTTTTATTATAAAAACAATTGTATTCTTGCTTTTTCTGCATTCTTGAATCAGAAATGTACATAATTAAATTATTTAATTATTATTTTTAATTAATTATTTATTAGTAGTGTCAAAAATAGTGCCACTGTCATTGTGAAGTTAATTTTGTGATTTGTGAATATGTAAATTTATGTTAGATTAAAATTATTGGGAATACCAAGTTATGGACGCAAAATTAGGAGAAATTAGAGAAAATTAGAAAAAATCGAAAAAAATAGAAAAGAAATATAAGAAAAAATAAAAATGCACCTTAGGACATGAGAAAAGTCCGGAAAATAATGTTTAATGGCACTTAAAATGTGACAAACAAAATCGTGAGATGGAATTTCTGAACGAATAAATATTCGCCTTTTGCCAACTGAGCTTTCGTCCAAACCAAGGCAAAACTAAAAGTAACCAACATTTATTCTCCAATATTCTACATTCTCCAATAATTCATCATATAATGTGAAAGAAGGCCCAGTGAGTTCTTGCTATCATTTTCGCCGATTCTAAGATTTCATTAGGAATAAACCTGCCTTTCAAAAATGTAGCTGATACAGGCGTCTCATCTGCACTGCTATTACCAAGAGATTTTCTGACTTGCGCGGGCCGATAAGCTAGCAGAACCCTAACTGGAGTATTATTTTTAAAAAATCATTATAAAATGAAACTTTTTTTAATCAGGGAAATTCAACTGAAAATTAACTTTATCAAACTTTTGATAACAAAAACCTCATTGTCGTTTATCAAATGTATAGCACGAATTGATAATATATGAATAAATCGATCAATTTTTAATGAAATTGGTGTTTTTCCATGTAAAATAAAAATTCGAAATTTCGAAACAGCAAATAATCTCGATTCAAATTTTTCTGGTTTGCTGCCATATTCAACTGAGCAAACTAAACGACAATCCCAAAATTTATTACCGAATAATGTTGAACATTTCTCTGAAAATTTTATTAAAAATTTAACAAATGAATCAAAAATTTATAAATTTAGAATTATAATTATTTAATATTTAAAATTACCTAAATAGCTGAAGGAAATAAAAGATAATGCTATTCATGAAAAAAATGAATTCTTTAAGGAAATAAAATTGTTATGATATGCCCATAGATATTTTTTCACCTATTTCAATTATAATTTTTCACTTCTCGTCTTTTTTATGCCATAAAAAGATTGTGTTTTCAAATTATGAATTTATGTATTATAGAGAATTCTAGATCCCCTAAGACTCGTCTTTCTAAGGGCTTAAAATTGAAAAGGGGGATGAGGTTAAATAACCTGGATACCAAAAATTTTGCTAAAAATGGTTCAGTGATATATTCTTTCGGTAAGGTCAAGCATCATGAATTTGATTTCTGCTCTTGATGAGAATAAGCGAGAATCTCTTACGTTAGAAGAGAAGCCAAATAGTTCTAATATTCAGTTTATTCTGTGATAATCAAAAACACTCTAACATTCAGTGGAGTCAGCTAAGCCAAAGGCCTTTCTACAACCTTATTCGGCTTTTATTTATAAATTTTGTCAATCTTTCAAGCGATTTCAAGAGTCAAGAGGTGTCCGAATTAGTCCAGAGCATCGTATCACAAATCTTGAATACGCTGATGATGTAGTTCTTTTTGTTGACACTTATAACGAGATGGAAGTAATACTAAATAACGTGTCAGAAACTGCAACAAGAAGAGGACTCAGGATGCGATCATGCTATGTCTATGTAAATAAAACGAAAGGCTTTTCGTCTTATGTGCAAGAAGCTGATAAAATGCCTCTTTTTGTAAATTCATTGCCGGTTGAGAAAGTGCCTGATTTCAAATACCTTAGGTCCACTCTAATACCAAATGGACAGGCAAAAGATGATATTATAATTCGGACCACGGCAGCTAGAAATGCGTTCTTCCGGTTGACGAAACCTTTATGGAATCGTCACCATAAAAACGAAAGTCCGCATCTATAGTGCCGTGATCCGTTCGATCTTATTATATGGTTCTGAGACATGGCCAAGAGGTGTCCGAATTAGTCTAGAGTGGAGGATATTAAGAAGTTATCTGCCACTCTTGTCTAAGGTACATATTATGGATCCATCGAGCGGATAAGACATCGCATGATCGCATCCATCTTCGTTCAAATACCACTTGTATAAATAATGTTACCACAGAGCGCCGCCTTCGCTGGTTAGAGCCACCACAGGAGTTGATGCATATTTCGTTATTTGCTAAATTGTGTGACGGTTGGCGTCAAAAGCGAGGTGGGCCAATCAAGACCTGGACTGATACAGTGAGAAAAAACTTTGAACGTATAGGTGGACCAGCAATATATAGACTTAGACGATGGAAAAAGGATTGACTTCCATTACTGTCGACGATGGCATCAGACCGCGCCGCTTGGAAGCGTCTTATTCTTGTAGCCGTTGGAGCCAGCCTAACCAGTAATGGTGAGAGCTGTTAGAAGAAAAAGAAGAAAAAGATTTCAAGTGCAAGGCTCCGCTGAAAAGGGCTACAAAGGATACAATTAGAATAAGCGAAAGAAGAAAAGAACAAACCATTAATATAACTACACAGATCATTAATAACACCTCGTGTTAATGACATTTTCGGAAATTTACCCAAAAAACATCTCTACAAGCTTCAATGAATGATTGATTCTTTTCTGAAAATTATTTGAAAATCAAAAATCAAAAATTAATGAAAATAAACGATCACATACAAATTCGAATGCGAAATTTGCAACAATAAATATCCCACTTATATTATTCAACATGACACTTCGATTTCCAACACCTCCAGCCACGAAACTTTTTACTGGTTGACCACTACGGTGACGAAATCTGCACAAAACTCTGCACCGTCCCCTATCGCACATTTCTTCCCTTTCTTTAGGAATTTTTTTGGTACACGAAATTATATTTGTCTTTTTTCTATTAAAAAACAATTTTAAATGGAAGAAATCAAAAAGTAAAAAATATATAAAATATCAAGTAATGGAAAAGTAATGGAAACGTGGACGAAGAACGTGTAGCACAAATATGAATGGGAAAATGAACTGGAAGCCGTAAAAAATTTACTGCGGATGGAAAACAATGTTGAAAGGAAATAGTAGGTGTGAACATTTATCGTAAACGTGAGCGATCAACGAGAAGTCAACGATCAAGAACGAATGCAGTATACGTGAAAAAAGGGAATAAAGTATTTCATGCAATGATAATTGCAATTAAGCACAACAAAATACACAAGAAGTTGGAAAACATTCCAATTGAAAGGAATGACCTCTGCACCCAAGAAATGCTAAATACTGCAGCAAAATCCCTTATTATAGGTACGCGAAATCCGAAAGAACAGACGAATGACCTTTAACCCCACAGAAAACTCTGAACAAATCGATTGCCGTAAATCCTATTAAAAAGTACGCAAATTAAATATTCCACATATGGGAAGCAACGATCTTATGACGGAATTTCGTTTCAAGATCCGAATTAATTTTTTCTTTGAAAGCATGTAAATGGCAAGTTGCCTAAAGATCACGGCTAAATAGCTTAAAATTACTAAAATCACCCTACGAAACAAACTAAGGGAAAAGGCGGCATAGGAAAGTACCAATAAAGGAGAAATGACTGGTCAAAAAATTCTTGTATCCTGAAGCGATTGTTTGACCACTGTGGAAATATTATGCGTTTTTCGTATGGGGATGTTGGTTTCCGCTATCGTTTATCACTTCTTTGAACTTTTCTTTCCTGAGATGTGTCACCATTTCTGGTTGAATTGACTCGTCGGACCAAATAGATTTTTGCCAAGAAGTCACCTGGCAGTCGAAATACAAGTGGATCGCCAGCATTACTTCCAATTTCTTTAATTTTATATCTCAGTTGTTTAAAATTATTTTCATGTAAATTTTTTGATTTATTCTAGCAAATTATTTTGTCATAATTTTAGGTTTCGTTTTTATTTTTTTTTATTTTTGTTAGTTTCTAAGAATTTTTTATAAAATCTTTTCTAGAATCAATGATCATTATTTTAATTTTTTCGGTTACTTCGGTGTTTTCTTACTTTTTAATCATTTTTTATCGGAATTGTTAATTATTTGTCGTTGCGAAGCGCCAATGCTGGAGTTCTGTTTCCGGTAGGAATAAACCTATGTTTCAAAAATCCTGGTGATTCACCCTTATTTCTATCGCCAAGTAATTCGTTGGTAAAATCTGTTTGGTTCGAGAAACCAGTGGCGAAGGCCAAACTAGAAATAGTTTTGGAACATCAGTGTTAATTATAGTTTTTATATGTTGATATTTGATAAGAAATTTCGAACTGATAAGAAAGAAAAATGAAGAAAAATATTCGATGAGAGACTTCAAACTTTCGTACCGAATTGTTTTTTTGCAAAAAAGGGATAATTTTTCGACAAGTTTTTTTCAAATTTTGACAATACATCCATTTATAATTATTGTGAAATATTTTAATGCGCATATTTTAACTTGTGAAAAATCTAATACAGTTCAAGCAATAGGATAAAACTTTATGCAAAAATAGAGCTTATATGGTTCATTTGGTAGAAATTATTTGCTTAGATATCAGCTTTATCAGAATATCATATCAGCAAGTAAGTACAATTGAGGCGAGTTTCGCTTCGCTTATTTATCTTTCTCTTATTCGCGTTATTCCCAATTTTGGTTTAACTCGGATATTTGGTAAAATTTGCTAAATTCGCAGATTTTTAAACCAAAGGAAATATGTAAATAATTCAGAATATCATTCATAAAACCACTTATGTTATCGAACAATAAATTAATTTTTGTAAGTCAATAAAGTAATTATAAATTTTAGTTATTTAGAACCTGAGTATTGTTGCTATGGAAATTTACCAGATAAACTTTTTTGGTTGTCGGTTTGAAGTGCAAAGGTCTTTGAAATTCGAAATTGAACTGTAGTTAAGAAAGTAGTTAGAAAGGAAGCAGCCTGCAGGATTGAGCACTTTTGATATGCGTAACCGAGAAATAACTGATATGATTGAACTTTTTATGAAATTTATGATTTGCAGGTTATGGTTGATTGTCCACATATAACACGATCAGTATGTATTGCACGCCTTGATCTCGAACAGTTAAAGCGTTTTGGTTATGGCAGATATGATTCATTTAAGCAAAAGAAAATGCAAATTACTGAATGCGACCCTCAAATTGCTTCCTATAGAAAAAAGAATACAACAACGATGTAAATTTTTTCTAATAACCTTGCGGCTAAAATGATCGTTGAAAGAGATGGAAATTTATTAAGGATTGGAGGAAAATAAGTGAACGAGGTGGCGGTAGAAGTTGATCTCTAGCATCTCGCCTAAATTTTTGGAATTGCTGGGGAGGAGTGTAGAACCATTCTAAGATGCAAGTGATATTCCACTGAACCATTCTGCTTCCTGGAAAGAGATATTATTCATGAAAAAAGTTTAATTCTTAATTTTCCTTTTTAAATAATCGAAATTATTCATTGCAGTATGCTACTAATTTTATGGAAAAAGGAAATTAGTGCAGATTTTCACGAATTTTTTTCAGAGATTATGGAAACTGGAGTTGTGTGGAATGTGGAACATCGAAATGTCCGTGGCTTTGTCTTTCATGTGGGTTAATTCATTGTGGGCGATATGTTAATGAAGATGGTTTAAAACACTTTAAAATATATCCTAATCATTCAGTTTGTATGGACTGTTATAGTTACAGTGTGTTTTGGTAAGTTTATTTCCTTCTTTTAGCCATATTTCTGATGAAAGATTCAAGATTCTCTTTAAAATGTTTCGGAACATTCAGAATTTGGTTGATGAAATTTTCTTTGAAATTCAGTTTATCTTTCGAAATTGGATTAAATTGGATTGGATAATAAGATTGAGGAAATGTTGCTTCGTTGATAAGTGAACTTCCTTCTCCCTGTTGAATTATCATGTTTATGTGTGTAGAAAACATGATAGAGCATTAGAAGTCGAATTATTTTTAAGATTTATTTAAATTCTACAGTTATTGTTGCGATGATTTTGTCGGATGTGATACGGATGATCACAAAATTGCATCAATTCGATCATCGCTCGAATTTTATAATTGTTCTCGGTACCACATTTTTTATCTTTTTTTTCATTTCATATTTATTTTTTCTTGTTTTTTCATTTTTCATTTTTTAAAAATTTCCCACTTTTTTATCTAAAATTTTTAGATTTTGAAGAATAAAAAATGATATAAATTTTTTGTTATTAATTTTTTGTTATTAAGTTTAAAATTAGTTTTCGAATGGTGCGTTTGCAAAGGATTCGGTACCATTTTCATATTGTTACATTGATACATTTGGGCGCTTTATATTTGCTCGTGTATTCATGTTTTTAAACTTATTTTTTATTTTTCATAAATTTTTAGGCTTCTTCATCTTTAATCTTAATTTAATTGTAATTATCCAGTCTCTTAAATCTTGAATATCTATTATCTTAAGTACTTTAGTATCAGCCACAATTTTTTCAAGATTTTCGAAGATTTCTTGAGTATTTTTGAAACGTTTTGAAATACATATATAATTTTATTCTTGTTTAGTTTCATTTAGTTTTATTGCCTTATTTATTTTACAATCAAAATTTTTGTGGTTCATATAAAAAATTTCATTTCGCATTTAGGAGCGATGATCATAGCTATTCTTCGACAAAATATGAGTCGACTCTAGACGCGGAAGATATAATTGAAATTTCTGCCACTGATTCGCCACCAACATTTTATGATGAAGCAACCGAAGATGAAGGTGAATTTGAAGGAATATTTTCAAGCGATTATGTGCAAGATGAAATGGACACTTTAGAAGTACAAATGATTGATGCTGCTGAACAAGATGAAAATGATTCTTCGCGCCTAAGAAATATTAAAAATAATCGGTAAATTTTATGTTGATTATTCGAATAAAATATTGAATAAAATTATTTTATATTGGTTTTGTATAATAGAATTTATTACTTTCAGAGATAGTCAGGTCGAATTTAATTTGGGTTCAAGTGGTGATGAACATGAAAAGGATGATTGTAGCGAATCAATGTCAGAGGCTGATTATGCTGATCGTAAAGTGATAGCTGATTTATTGGAAAACAGCCGAATTAATTCGTCATCTGTACTTTCAAATAATCAGATATTAAATAAACATATTTTTGGGCAATGTGATTTCATGGTTTCTCTGAAAGAAACACCATTCATTGGTGGTGAAAGAAATTTACGAAAACGTAAACGAAAAATTCAGCTTTTCACTGAGCTTAAAGTAAGTTCTAGCTTAGAAAGGATGGATTTTTATTTAAATTTTTCAGGACTGTGGTCATTTTTGAGATTTTTATCTTAAGAATTTATTTATTTCATCTAATTGATGTGGAGTTTCATTTATAAAATCTAAAACGCTTCTGTCTCAATTCCTCATCTTTTTCGGCACTTTTTTTGGGCATATATAGTTAGCTTGGAATTGGCAAATATCAAATATACTGGTGAAAGTCTATATTTCAATTCTCATTTCAATATAGAAAAATCGGAATATGTGCACGTTACTTTAATATTTCATTTCAGGATGGTGATTTGACTGGCATACAATCATTGCCTCTATCAACAACTGTTATCGGTTTGCCATCATGTGCAGAGAAAGGAACTGCTGTTGATAGCAAACGATTGCGTGGCTTAAAAAATCTCGGCAATACATGTTTCATGAATTCCGTCATACAAGCACTCAAGTCAATTTTGCCACTTTATTTTTCTAAAAGCGTATCTAAGCGTAATTGTCTTAAGATATTCCAATATAATTTTTATTAGCTTATTGAATTTGGATATCTTACTACTATTTTCTTGCTTGACATGGAACTTACTCGTTTTTTTATCTATTTGCGACCCTTTCATCTAATATATGGTTTAAGGACGGTGCCTTGTTGTCTTCTTATTTGTTAAAAATTTTGTGGTAATCTGTATTTATTAATTTGTCTATTTCTCTGTTCCTAAGATCGATTTACTTAAAGATCAAAGGTCTCATGAAACATAAAAATTGTTCTTTCAGCACTTTAGAGATTTTTCGTTACTTTATGAGTCGTCTTCCTCCTCTAAAAATGGAAACATTTTCAACTGATGGTTCATCGCCTCAAATACCTCGATATAATACAAGAAATTCTCTGCCTTTTGCAAATGAGCGAAGGTTTGTTCATGAGAAAAATTATTTCACTATGATTATTTTCTCTTTCATAAAATATTTAAAATTTTTTGTTCTTTTATTTTGGATAAAATGAAATTAAATCGGTTGGCTTAAAACTAAGGATTTCCTCAAATATAAAGATATAAATCTTATGTAAAATTATGTAATTATCTTATGTAAAATTCATTACTCTGGTAAAAAAAATTCATTTTTGCATAACCAAGAGGGCCAAGATTAAAGAAAGATAAGATGAAAAGGTCAGAGAGGAGAAATTAGTTGTAGAAAATATTTTTTTAAGTAAATAATGGATGGATATACCAAGGAATCAAGGAAGGATAATATTTATTTTTCCATATTGTTCAATTGAATAATTTTATTTTCTAATTTTTAGTGCATAATAATGTTTATAATAGAAATTATTATAAATATTATTTGCATAATATTTAATGAAGTAAATAGAATATAATATTTGTTTTATATTAATATTAATTATTATGATGGTCCTGGTGAATATAAATGTGGGGAATGGATTAAGTCCCTGTTATACTTGCATATATTTATAAATAAGGCTTCTATCAAATATAGTTCAAGAAGTTTTTTTATGAAATTTTGTGGAATTAGAGAGAGCAAGATTAGCAAGAAATTTTTCTCCTTTCATTCATTAAACTTTTTCGATCAAAGTTAGTGATAAAGACGAATATAAGATAATAGTAGTGATAAGATATGAATAAAATAAAATTAACAATGTTCAAATTATTTGTGAGGCGATCGCTTGAAACTATCGATTTATATTCTTTCTTGTTGAAGCTTAGTCTCGATCAATATATTTTTTCTGCTTTTTATCTTATCCAATCAAGTACAATATTTCTTCTTCTAATAAAAACTTATTTTTTTATAATTTTCTAATAATTTTCTTATTTTTTTCTAATAATTTTTTCTAATAATTATTTATTTTCAAAAATTAGAACTTTATTAGAACTTAAAACCTTAAAGAAATATTATCAATGTTGGTAATGAATTATTGCTGTTGATAAGAAAAATAGTTTTGTTTTTGAAATATTCTAAAATATTAATTAGAATCAACCTTTTTGTGTTATATTATGTTATATTAAGTCTTTTTAAACTTATAGTTTTCTCACCGAAGAACTAAGAAAAACTTTAATTGAAATTGCGAGTGATACAAATTCGACGAGTTTAATAGTAAATGCGTATGGACCAGATGCACTTTTGGCTGAAGTATGGAAACTTGTACCTCGTTTTAGGTTGGCTTTTTTGGCTTATATTCCTATGATCATTCTTTTTATTCTCATTATATAATAATATATCTCCACTGATTACAAGGATAAGATATTCCTAAAATATCTTTGCTTAAAATTTCTTTTATCCATAGATCTTAATGCAGATTTTGGTGGGGTATTCTCGCTTTTGCAAAAGTGTTATGCAGTGCAGCGCTGATCATTGTTAATAATATGTAATATATCTTATGTATTCTAATAGCATTTATGGTTCTGCTAGTTGCATTGATTAGGATGTTATTCATTCGCCACTTAGGTGATTTTTGAAATAGGAATGCAGGCTGGCCCACAGCACTGCTTGATGGGAAACATGATGTCCAATAAATTCATTCTTCGCGTTATATCGTATGCATTTTGAATTAAAAAATTACCCGATCGTATATCCTACCATTGGAGAATTTGAGTTTTAAAATTATTCATTTATGTTCAATTATGTTCATTAAATCTTTTTGTAATTTGCAATATTGGTATTCGAAATTTTTATATGAGGGATCATAAAATTATAAAATTAATTATTCAATTATTTTGCAATTTAATGGTTTGTTAAAATAATTTTTGCTTTTGCAAATTGATATCTTTTTCTCGTATCGTTATTCCTTCATTTTTTATCACAGTTATTTTTATTTTCTGTGGTCTTCAAGTATAAACATTTAATATATACGTACATACACACATATGCAGAGGATTTCAACAACATGATGCCCATGAATTCCTTCGTTGCGTATTAGATCGTATGCACTTTGAACTGAAAAGTTGTCGTATACCTGATTGGTTACTTTCTGAAGTTTGTGAAGGTGGTGTAAGATTGGCATCAGAATCTCATTTTGCGACGAATAAACGCAAAAAAGGGTATTTATTTTTTTAATATTTGTTTCAGAATTAGTTTTGTTAAAATTATTCGATGCTAAAAATTCGCTTTCAAGCTAATTTATCATTTGTTTTAATTAGTCATTTCAACACAAGTGATTTTTATAAATAATTCACTATAATTCGACATATATAGGACTTCGAAATCTGAACGGAAGTGCGCAATTATGGCTATGTTCGAAGGTTTTTTACAAAGCCAGCTGACTTGTTTATCATGCAATAAAACAAGTAATAAGCAGGATCCCTTTCTTGGTTAGTACAGTATGGAATTCTCTTTGTTGAACATAGGAAGTTGATTTCATGGTACATTGGCATGATGGGTTATCTCGTGCAAAGGTTATAAAGAAAGATTAATCCTTCTTAGGCCAGAATTTCATTAATCTACACATAGAAATCTCTTGTGAAATCTTGATCTAACAAATATTCGATGAAGATTCCCTAAAGATATACGAATTGTGACTTAACTCGACTCAGTTTTTTCGCGGTTTCTAGATTTTTGATTGTTATAAATAAGGTTTTTAATCTTAAATACATGCTATTTTGAATAAAATTTCTAATAACATACACATTTTTTCTGGTCTAACTTGATCAACTGACTACTGGAATTAGAATTAGAAAATCAGTTGAGGACAAAACAAGATAGCTCGGAAATGGTTCAAAATTAGAGTTTCTTAAAATCTAAAAATATGCAGTCTATAATTTCAGTAAATAAATTATATCATTTTTTTTGCGTTAGTCTCTATGTTTCTTCGAATTCTTTGTTTTCTTCAATTTTTTTAATTCATAATGCAATAAAATTTGGCTTTTCCCAGTAGGTCATAAATATTTTTGTTGAATAACTATGAATTTTCTTTCACTCTCTATTTTAAAATCTTTTCTTCATTCTTCTCTTAATCTTTTTCAAAAAAGAATCTGTTAAATTTGTTCTTCAGATCTTTCATTGGATATTTTCCTTCCATCGAATGGAAATCGGGCCAATACTATTCATTTGAATGAATGTTTGCATAGATTTTTCGCTAAAGAAGAACTTGACACTTGTGAGCAATATTTCTGCAATTTTTGTAGGGATAAACGTCCATCAACGAAGCAACTTTTTTTAAGATCGTTACCAAATGTATATTTTTGAAATTGTCGTTTTTTTTGCTTTTTATTTTTTATTTATTTACTTTCTACTTACTGATAATTGTTATCAAATCTTAAATAAATTATTAAATCTTTAACAAATTCATAAATTATTTATATTATGTTATATTATGTTATTAGCAAAGTTAAAGGGCAAATTTTGGTGTTTTGTTGTTAATCATTCTTAATTACTATAGATTCTGTGCTTGCATTTAAAGCGTTTCCGTTGGTCGCAAGCTCATAGAGGAAAGTTGGACAATATAGTTGAATTTCCACTGAAGGGATTGGATATGAAAAATTTCATTTATAGCGAGGTTTATTTTGTTTTTCATGGTTTATATTTTTTTATTATTTTGTGTTGTTTATGTCAGAAAATAAAATTATCCTAGAATGTCAATTCCAATATTCTTTCTAATGAAAGCGATTCTTCAGTTCATGGAGATTCTCGTTCGAACAGGTATTTTTTCATTTATTTAGGTAATTAAATCGAAATATGAGGGATAAATTGAATATGAAAAATATAAATATGAAAATTGTAAGATATGAAACTAATGTGTAAGTAATAAATCAAAAGGCAGAATAAAATTTCTTAAAAATTAGCATGATCTATTCGTTCAATTTTTCAGTTTTTCATCTTGTTCATCACTAACTGCTTGCGCTGATGACTATAATGCTTTGTACGACTTGTATTCTCTTGTTGTTCATCATGGTTCTGGGTTAGTTATGATATTCCTCAAACTTTCCCTAACTTTGTTTTTTCACTGCCATCATTATTTGCTTGTTTTATATAGTGCTTTCTAATTTAGATTAAAATTTTGGTTAGTTTATTATGGGCTTTAATTGATCACAGACTTTGATTTTATATTTCTGTGGAATAATTTTGGTCACTGTTCACGACTTTGTGACGAGAAAAGCATTTAAAATTTAATTTAAATAAAATTTAGTTTGATCAGCTTGTTTTATAAATTGTTTTTTCAGCAGATTTTCCTTTTCTTTAATAAATTATGTGTTTATAGGTATTTAGATGGTTGAAATGTTATATGCTAATTAGTAATTTTAGAGAAGAAACAACTTTTAGAGTAAGCTCTGGTCATTATACCGCGTATGGTTATCACAGCAAACAGTGGTATCATTTCAATGATAGTTTGGTAAAACCATGTTCAGAACAAGCGGTTATGAAGCAAAAGGCTTATCTTTTGTTTTATGTTAGACGAAATCGTCAGTAAGCTGCTAATGGTTTGTTAATGATTTTTGTTATATTATTCATTTATTAAAGATCTGGTGATTTTATAAGTTTGTATTGTTTAATCACTTATCTTTTTAGTTTTATTATTTATGCTTCATATAATTTTTTTTTATTTTTGTTTGCAGTTTTTTATTCATTTACATTATATATTTCATATAACTCTTTATTATATTATGTTATCACCATCTGGTTATCTTCTTTACTGGTGTTGTTGAATTGCAAATCTCAAGCGCTAAACGGTTTCTTAGATATTTTTTATAATTTTCAATTTTTTCAGTTTTTTATGAATTAATTAAATGGCTGATAATTATCATTGTAATATGACGATGAATAATTTTTAGAAAACTTTTCCATTTCGAATTTTGAACTTAGAAATTTTAGCAAATATATATTTTATTGCATAGTTTTTCGCTCAGATTTAAATAGGCTGAATGATGGAATAACGACTGTGAATTAAAAATTTTTTTCTTTGGTTTTTTATTTTCTTTTTCGATTTTATTTTTAAAAAAAAATTATTTTTTAAGTATTCGAATATTTCTTATTTTATATTATATTATTTCTTATTTTAAGTATTCGAATATTTCTTTATTTTATTTTATATTCTCTATTAAAGATTAAATTAGGATTTTCATTTATAAACCACATTACAGAGAAGTTTTAGAATTTTTGCTTATTTGTAATTTTAGTGAAGAAATTTTGTAGTGCAGCATTTGAAAAAATTGTTCAACAAAAATATACGAAATAAATATCATAAATATATATATATATATATATAGAAAGTTTTTTTATATAAATTTATTGATCTTCATTTTTTCATTTTTTTAAGAGCTCTAACCATTATTGGTTGAATTCGCTCCGCTGGCTTCTCACCACTGGATATTTGCCAGAGAATCCTTTGGCGATAGGAGTATAGGAGTATAGAGTCGCCAGCGTCACTCATATTTTTGCTCCTTGAGAGAGAAAAGGCACTGCGAATTGAGCAACAGTCCATTGAGCCATTCTGCTCCTCATTTTTGCACTGCTGGATTAATATTGGTGCCAGATCATTTAATTGATATTTTTTGGTTCAGTAATTGATAAGTAATAATATTTATTGAATGAACAATAAGATATTTTGCATGGTACTGTTATTTCATATACAATACTGAAGGGTTGGCGGAGTCGCACCAAAGTCTTCGCTTAAGTGATTTTCTGGTGGGGAGGGGACTTTAGTAGTCAGTCGAACCATAAATGTTGAATATTGTTGGAAGCAAGAATTTCGCTGGCATCAATTGTTATCAATTGTTAAATTTAGGTCTTTTAAATAAATTGCAAATCTTAAAATACTTTCATTTTCATTAATTTTCACTATTTAGTATAGGTAATCATTTGTTAATCATTTTATTCGAGATTTTTTATTTTTTTCGTAGTTTTTCTTACTTATTCATTTATTTTTTGTTCTCAGTTATCATTAATGATTACTAATACAGCAAAAATTTATGTTGATTTGTATCGATTATGTAAATTTTAACGTAAAAACTTTGCAAATATGATGTTTTCTGATATTATTAATATATTTTTTTCTTTCATTCCATTGATTTTGCCTTTTATATAATTGTTTTTGCTTCATCTTATCATTCATTATCATTTGTCAGTTTTGAATTAATTTTAAGTTTTAAATTAAATTAATCAGTTAATGAGGTTGAATTCAATTCTTTTATTCTTTTATAGCTTATCGAATTATAAATTATTTTTATTATCTTTTTATCTCTTTTATTTATACTTTTATGAATTACTTTATCAGACATTTTAATGTTTCAATTTTAAAATATTTTTATTAAAAAAAAAGAATAGAAAAATCGGGTTTATCTCGTGTCTACTTTTCTATTCAAATTTATTCTCCTCCACAATATTTGCCCATTTTTCTATTTTTTGTTCATCGATATTGGTTGATTTCTTGCATATTTTTTGTTTGTAAGTGAAATCGAAACGTGCATTTCAAAGAATTAAGGAATTTCATTCATTTTTAGGTACTTAAAATTATTCCTTTTTTTGTTAGAAATAAATATATTTGATGTAAGTGGTAATAAATATTGAAAACGTCAGTGTCGTTGTATCTTCAAAATTTAAAGTTTGATTTCGTGTCATCTCGTATGCTACGAGGTACTTTGTTTTAATTCGTACAATAGTTATGTTTAAGAAGAGTTTGTACGTGTGTTTGCTAACTTTACTCAGTTGCAGTGGTTATTTTTAGATAATTTTTTGGAAGTTTGGAAAATTTGCAATTTCAGCTACCAGACAGGTTTCTTTGGATTTTGCAATATACATTAGACATTTCGTAAACAATCTGAGTTAATCTCTTACTCTAATTTTAGAGCACAAAAAGCCCAAAAATCCACTTAAAAACAAGTGTTGGCTCTGTCATCCATCATTCATATTTAGACGGAGATTTTAAACTATGAAATATTTCTTGTCAAGGAATTAATTGGTAAACAAATTTTTTTTAGCAGATTATTCGAGTAAAGTTAAAGGACAACAAAAATTCTAATTCCAACTGCAGGAACTATTTTTTATTATTTTTAGGTATGTTGGCGATTCTGGAAGAATAGAATGACTTTTAAATGGCCATGGCAGTATGAATTTCCTCCATTTTTCACGTAATTTTTCTAAAATATCCCTCGGGAAATTTTTAAAAAAATTGCATTTTTGACAAATCTCTGTAATATCCTCTTGAATTAATGCCGTTTTTCTATTAACGTATTATGCCTCTCTCCTGCTAGAAGGTTCACGTCAACGTGGCACTTTTTCTCAAATCTTCCCAGAAGTTATCGAATGTCCATTAAGCGACATTTCCATTATTTAGATCATTCATATCGTTCAGATGGTAAATTTATTGTAGCTTTAAAAATTAATGGAAATCATTTCAGTCTCCAAACGACATTAGTTACTCGTGAAAAACAGCTTGAAGCCTGGAGTCGATTAGTTATTGATTATTGCCAGTTTCATAAGATATATACTCTCAATATCGCAGATATATCAAATTCTGAATTATTTATTAACGCGAACCTTAATCGAAAATTATCACCTGCCGGAGTACGCGCCGTTTTCGATTATCTTGAGCACAAAAGTTAGTTTTATATTTTTCGGTAAGCTTTGCAATATTGCCTCATCATTAGTGATTAGTATTATGGATTAAAAACTTGGTCAGTTTCAACTTATATAGATACCAATAGTTTATTTGTTTGAGAGAACGCTTCAAATGTTTCTTTTGGCACCAAGGAATAAAATTTATTTATATGGCTTAGAGCACGTCGATTGGTTAGATCAATCAAAAAACCAATGTCACATATATTGGAGACGTCCTGAGGAGTGGGCTGCATTGATTTATGAATGGGCAGTTAGTAACGGTTTACTTAATACTCCGTGTACACTTTATGAAATCACTCAAGGCGACGACGTAGCAGATGAATGTAAGTTATTCAATATTGTAAATAAATTGTTTCGCCTTTTTTTTTCTTGACTTCTATTAACTTTTGCATTTAAATTAGTTTATTTCAATGATAAAACATTTTTTTTTGTTGCATCTTATTTGTTTAGCATTTTTTGGATTAGATAAAAGTGTTCTTTTGAAATCATTGGCAATACTTGTTGATCAGCGACGTGCACAGTTGCTTAATATTGGATCTGAAGCAGAAGGCGTCAAATTTCTCCCATAATAATCGGTAATCACTTTTCTCAGTTTATTGATAATCAGATACTTCATTCATTTTTAATATTTCTTTGACTCAGAAAGAAATTTCAGTAGTGGTTTTCAATTATTTATTTTTTATTTTGTTAACAAAATGGAATGTAATGAACCATTTGAAGAATCTACAAATATTCAAATATTGGAGGGAAAGGTAGTAATTTCTTTTATTCTAGTGGCTAATGATTTTATGAATCCATCTTTTTTTTAAAACATTTTTTATTCTTGTTATTCATTCTTTATTGTTTTTTATTCTTGTTATCCTTGTTATTCATTCTTTTCCTTTCATAATTCTGCTATTTTTAATCCGTTTGGATCCGTTTAGCTTTTATATTAATCAGAAACTTTTTGATTTAGAAAATTTCAAATTTCGTTGGCTCAGGATTTTTGAATAATAAAGAGAAAATTGAAGAGGGTGATATTGTAATTATTTATATTGGATTTGGAGTATTTGAAGCAATACGAGTAACGCAAGGCTGTACGCTGACTATGAAATATGGCGCATTGAGGCACGACTATTTGATAGGAAAAAGGTAAAGAGAATTTTTGCTATATGCATTTATCTCTTGTTGTTTCCGTTGTTTTTGGTATGCTATTTCGAAATTTTGGAACGGTTAGCCCATGAGCCGCAGACTGTTTCGCTTTTTCTATTCGATACCCATTCTGCGCTTTTTTAAAATTGGTTATTTTTTTGATGTTTTTCTTAATGGCATTTTTTATCACTCTTTACATATGGAATGTCGCCACTGGCTTTTTCCCTTGATAAACTCCAAACCTTCATCTAAACCTACTTAATGCATTCAAAAGCTTCTTTGATTGAATTGGTCCAGGTCTTTGCTGCCCCTCCACTCTTTCAACTTCATCCATTGCAAAAATTTGGAATATGGGTTATATGTCGCTTTGATTGGTGGCGAAAAACAAAATTTTGAGCAGTTTATTATGTTTTTGTGATACTATTAATGATATTCAAGCAAGAATGGATTCTAAGGATTCTAACAGTTCTCATCATTAGGCTGGCTTTGCCGGCTACAACCGTAAGATGTCTCTAAGCTATTCGGTCCAATCCTATCGCTGACAGTAATAGAAGCCATTCCTATTTCCAATTTAAGTCCATATCGCTGGTCCGCCTATACTTTTGCAAAAATTTGGAATGTGGGTTATATATCATCACTTGCTTTGATTGTTTGATGTAAATTTTTGATTCAGAATCTTTCCTAGCTATATCAGTCCAGGTCTTGATTGGTCCATCTCGCTTTTGACGACATTCGTGGCAGAGTTTAGCAAATAACGAAATGTCAACTCTTGTGGTGGGCAACGAAAAAAATGCCTTAACCAGTGAAGTGTTTTGTGATGGCAAGTGATATTTGAGCGAGAGTGGGTGCAATCTAGTGCGATTTTATCCGCTCGGCGGACCCGTAAGATTATCTCAAACATAGGTTGTCAAAGGCAGATAGCTTCTAAATCTTTCTCAGTGGCCATATCCATATCAGCCATATAGCAAGATGAGTGAACTACATCGACTATATTTTTTATAGTGATTTGCGACGAGTTCATAATGGTTTCATCAACTGGAAGGAAGTATTTTAGCTGCCATTATTCGGGCTATAATTTCGTCTTTCGCTTGGTTATTTGGGATTAGAGTGGATTCGAGATATTTGAAACTTGATTCTTCCTCAAGTGGCGAAGAATTGACAAAAATGATATCAACTTCTTGACTTGACAAGATGAAAAAATAACTTTCGTTTTATTTACATTGATTCTGAGTCCAGTTCTCGTTACAGTTGTCGACACATTGTTTAGCGTTATTTGCATTTCATCATAAGTGTCAGGAAAAAGGGCGAAAAAGGTCTACATCATCAGCGTATTCAAGATCTTGATGCTCTGAACTGATTTGCGCACCTCTTGAATGCCGACAAGCGCTGCCCATTCTCCTCTATCGCATATTTGAATATTGTAGGGACTCAGCCTTGACGGACACCAGTTTTTATTTCAAAAAAGTCTGTCTTTTCTCCATATACTCTGACCGATGCCGATATACGCTGATAAAACGACTTTATTAGGCGAATGATATTTCTGGAACGCCGTCACATTCCATCATCCTCCAAAGAACTGTTCTACCAGTTGGATCGAAAGTAGCTACAAAATCGATAAAAAATATGATGGTAGACTGCTGATGACTGATATTTGCTGATATTTAAAGCGGTGTTCCAGCATCCTTTTTAGCGTAAATATTTTATCAACAGAACCACGTCTTTGCGTATCCTATCTCGTACTGCCATAATTCTGTTCAGCAGGAGGAAAGCAAAAATGTTTCCGGAGATCTCTAGGAGGCTAACTCGATAATTATCACACCATTTGTCACCATTCTTAGGAATTGGAAGCAGAATTGCTTTGTTGCAGTCATCTGGTATTATTTCATTCTTCCATACCGGAATGTACATTTGTTGAAGGTGTGATATGAAAGACAATGGACAACATCTGAAGGATTCGGTCCGAAGGGCATCTTTTCATTTCACATAGGTGCTCCAATAATTCGGCTTGAAATGCATTTATTGTCCTCGATAGATATTGAAAGATCTTGGGAAACGTTGCTTCTTGCGACTTGTTGGTTTTATGCGAATCTTGGCTTTAACATGGTCTGATCCATAAGGTTAGCAGTTCCAGCGCCTCAGAACTTCCAATAGTTTTTTCGATGTCCGAACCATCCATTAATAACGGGCTCATGCTGTTCGGCAGAGCGAAAAAGGCATTCTCCATTGGCGCATCTCCATGGTCATATTTGTTAATTACTGAGTTTATCGTGGCGAAATTGTGATGTGATCTAGGCGTGCATTCCAGTCTGCTCCGATTATGACCATGTCTAATTTTCGATATAAATGTTGTCAGAAGTTAAAATTCCGCATAAAATTTATCTTATCGCGTATCGGTCTTCTGTGCTTAAAGTTGGAGCATATACATACATTAATGACCGAAATATTGCAGAATTTCCTTTGAAGCATGCATAGGCCATGCAGTCATTTACCGTCTTCCACGGAATCAAAGTGGGCCGAGCTTTTTCAAATATGACAGACGCTACGCTCCGAGAATCCAAAACATTCTTCTCTGAGCTAGGTTTGTTCTTTTTGCAAGAGAACCGAAGTGCGGAAGGTGGATCTGCGATAAACGACATCCACACGATATTTAAAAAGAGTGTGTGTGGACAGTGATCGCTTGACTCGCGACGTCCATAAACGTTTTAACATTCCATGCGGCTAATAACTCGTCGTTCATGCAAAGAGCCGTTTCCCTTGACAGGTTTCGAGTAGTTATCTTGGCTCGCGAGACCATATTCTTAAGCTTTGCTAGTCGTTTGACTATGACTTTGATTGTATGCTTATCGCATGTACCACCTGGCTGAGAATATCATCGCCGTATTAAAAAGACCTGACCCTTTCACCATAGAGGATATAGTCACAAGGGGTAACCATCTGGATATTTGTTATCACGGCAGATTTACTCCTGTCAAAGATACGAGAGTCCTGTGAAAATTCTATTCACGATAGTTATATGAAATGTTGGTTAAATAGAATTGGTGAAAGGTGAATAGTATTTTCTATCTTCCTCTCTATTCAGTTTTCACTCCATTATAAGAGGATATATACTGTAGCTATATAGATTTTAACTTTCATGTCGATTTTGATTTCTCAGGATTCCATTTTGTCTTCAGGAAGAGAATATTTCTAACTGGAATTGTCTGTATCTTTCTTCTTCTTGGTCATTCCGTATACGAATGGATTCAAGATATTTGAAAAGTGGCTTTATTCAACTGATTATTTTGAAAAGTGGCTTTATTCAACTGATTATGTACTAATATAATTATAATATATTTAAATAATTATGTATTAGAATATAGTTATTTTAATGCTTTTATTCAATATAGCTTCTTACCCCTGTCCTGGTAATTTTTTCCTGTAATAAATATTGACACATGGTCTGGATTCGAGTCTGTTGAATTATTCATAGCTATCAGATGTTTTTTATTTCGTTGCATGCAATGCAATTTATGCTAAATTCAATGTCATTTATCTTCTGCATTCTTCATTGTTCCGAAAAAAAGAAGGATGGATTCTTTTCTCCTTGACAGAAACTAAAAAACGTCATTAAAGGTAAGATCCGAGCGATGGCTATAGAATCCACTTATTTTTTCTCTTTGGAGAAATGTTTTCATTCTAGAAGTGGAACCAACCGATTTGGATGTGGTTCATGCTATTTTAGAAAAACAAGATGATGCACAAATGGCGATGCAGAATAAAATATTTTAAAAAATGTGACAATTGCTACAATAATATATATTTCAGGTATGGTTCACGTATTTCAGCTACAGCTGGATATATTTATGCTTTGCGTCCTAGCGCCGATCTTTGGACACGTACTTTACTCAGACAAACTCAGATTTTATATTCACCCGATTGTTCATTGATACTTACATTATTGGATGTTCGCCCTGGGGCGGTGCTTTTTTGTTTATTTTTTTGTCGTTTTTTCTTCTTTCGTTCTTTCTTTCTGTTTTTTAAACTTCGTTCAATATTTTTATCCATTTTTTTATTTATTTCGCAAAATACTTTTTGGATTTTCAGATTATTTGCGAGAGCGGTACAGGAAGTGGCTCTCTTTCTCATTTTTTGGCACTAGCTCTTGCCCCCGATGGTCATTTATATACCCATGATATCGACGAAGTTCGAATAAAAAAAGTCGAGAGTGAATTAAGGGTAAGCAAAATATTTCAATGGTCAAATTTTTGTTCTTATGTGCAAAAGAATTTATGATTTCTTCTAGTTGGCTATGCTGTTTTTAAATTTAAAGGTGCATGGTTTGGGTGCAGTTACCACTTGTATTCATCGAGATGTCACTGAAGACGGTTTTTTTGTTGAAAATGCTTGTGATGGAGTATTTTTGGATATACCATCGCCATGGTTAACTGTTTCTCATGCTAAAAAGGCTTTTAATCGAAGTCGGGGTGGCAATTTCGTCAGTTTTTCTCCATGCATTGAACAAGTCAGTATTTTTTTCGAAAAAATTTTAGTAAAAATATTTCATAGGAAATTATTGGTAAAAGAAAAAGCTTTGGAAAAAAACCTTCATTTAGTATTAATTTATCAAATTTCTTTAAATTTATCATAAAATTTGTCATAAGTTTATCATAATTTTGATTTTTTAAAAATTAAAAATTATTTTTCAAGCACATTATGACGGTTATTGATTTTTTTGAACTTTTTTCTTAGGGTCAAAATTTTTTAGGTGCAAAAATTATGTGATGCTTTAAAGCGTGAAGCATTTATACAAATTGAAACGATGGAATTATTACCTAGAAAATTGAAGGTATTTTATCTTATTTTCCCCGTTAATTTTAATTGATTGATTATCCATTTTCTTCAGTTTTCATTGTTTTATCCCATTTATGAATATTTCTGATTATCATTGTCACTTTAGGTTATGAATATTTCTGAAACAACTTTAAAAGAATTCAGTTTAATGACAGCTGCCGAAAAAAAACCAAAGACAATGGTGAATTCTGGATCTGGTGAAAGGAAACGTAAAATTGATGAAGATACTGCTGAAGCTATGCAAAGAGAAGAGCAATTGCCACAAAAACGCACATTATTGCCCAGTCCTCCATCTCAGCCGACTCATACTGGTTACCTGACGTGTGCAAAGTTATTGCCTTTTTTCGATGAAACTAGTGATACGTGATATTTTTTTTTACTTGAAGATTTTTTTTAAGTTTATAAAATGACGGATTTCGCTATCAATTTTTTGACATTCCCTAAGCATTTTCAATTTTATAATATTTTTAATTTTATAATAAGCTTTGAAACTTTTATATTGAATCGCTTAAAATACCTCTTTGATTTGAAAGGTTTATAAAAAGATTAGAAAATTCTTATAAAATCTTGAAAACTAAATTTTTTGGAATGGTGGACTAATTAACTGAATTCACTTTGCAGTTAATTAAATTTGTTCAAATTTACTCTATCAGAAAGATTAGAGATTTGTAACACCAATTAGATATCGTTAAATAGAGGTTAAAGTAAAGTAAATTAGACGAAAATGCCACCTTTTAAAATTCGAAATTCTAAGTTTATTTTGAAAAAAGTCATTTCATATTTATGATCGAATTTTTCTCAATATGTTTGTTATTCTCACCGTTTAATAGGTATCGTATATTTTTCATTTTTTTTCTTTATAAACTTTTAGAATATTTTAGATTTAGACTTTCTTATAGAATTTCTCTTATCAATGATAACTTCTGTGTGCTTAACGTAAATTCTTTTCAAAAAATTTGTTTTCAATTTGTTTTTATTATATTTTATTAATTCAAATATTAAGTATATATATATATATATATTTGTATTATTTTTATTAATATTATTATTGCAGACGCTTTTAATAATTTTTATTTTTCAGCTAAAATTGTTAAATTAGATTTGTGAAAATTGCTAAATGTTAGACATTTATTTGTTGCATTTTTTTTGTCAAATAATGTGTTTAATATTGTTTTCCTTTGATATTTTGTTTTGTAGTTAGAGAGAGTTAAAAAAATTTCGAAAATTTTCTTATTAGTGATATGATATGATATGCCATTTCTTCTTCTTCGAGAGACTTTAGGAATGAATGAAAGTACCAAAGTCGAGCGGCGTTTATTTTGGTAACTTTCCTAATATATGGAACAACTTTTAATATGCAATGAGAGAATTGAAATTCGGATTAATCAATATGAAAGGAAACCGAAAATGATAAAAATATTTGCAAAAATTTCAGGCGATTTTTTTGGTTGAAACATTTCCCTTTGCATTTTATATTACATTAAAAAAATATTAAAAACGACGAAGATATTTGTTTGTGAATATGGTTTGTATGCATGCCAGCACTGGTCGCGGAAAAAAAGCGCAGTCGTTTTGGCTGAACTGACGAGAAAAATGTCTAATTTTGGGTGGTCGTTGTCTGAGTTATTCTCGCTAGCGCAGACAGCCAAAAAATTTCACACATTTACGCATAGCACTACTCGAAGTCAATAAATTCTCATGTTGCAGATTCATTCATCATATTTATCTATATAGATGTTTGCCGGCCGGCTGGTGCTGGCCGCTCACCTGTTCCATCGCTAAGCGGCTCCCTGGCTTATTTGCCCAACCCGACGAGCCAGCGGAGAGTGTCTAACCGGTGATGGTGAGTTCTTTGAAAAAATACATATGTATGCAAGAATATATACATATGTATATATAAATATCTCTAATGCTATCCAGATATCTCTAATCAATTCAGAGAAAAGAGAATTTATGGTTGATAGTCGAGAGCGGATGACAACGACAACGACGATGAGATAAAGTAGCTTAAAAGCGAAAAAAGTCTAACGAAATGGACTATTCGCGTTAGTGATAACGCTAGAGATAATAATCCAGACAAGTGCTTCAAATAGGAAAAGAGCATTTGCACTAGAAAATTACTTCGAGAATCGTCCAACCATTATTATTATCATTATTATTATCATTATATCGCACAGCGTATGGGAATATCGAGAAAAAAAATTTCGCAGCAGCCAGCAATTGCAGCAATAAATATCAAATAGTGGTTTGTATTGAAATGAGAGAAAAGAAGTGAGAAAAACATTTGCACTAAAAAAAATCGAGCAATCGAGTTAAGTTTATGGTCGATGAATGAATGACGACGACAACAGAACTTTGATAATGATAATGGTAAAATGAAAACACCAACAATCAGTGATGATAACTAATAGATGAAATGATAAAAAGAAAAATCAGTGCATTAATTCGAGATCGACTGGACGAACTATAAAATTATGAACGACAGCATTCGCAGTGGCGGACGTTTTTAGTTTTTTTCGTTATCCAGACAACCATAGCTCACTTGAAAGATAATAATGACTGTGTTAGTTAGTGTGAGTGTGTTTAGTGATTAGTGCAGTCGTCGTCATTCCATCCACCCAGCTGTTCTCGTATTTATTTGCTAGGAATACACTACATCACTACACTTACAATCATATAAGTCTTTGTCATTATTATCATTATCATTATCACTACTGTTATTGTTATTATTATTTATTATAATCGTTAACGATTCATTAGATAAAAAATTTTTTACTTCGTACGGTTATTCATATTTCTTTTTAAATTCCTCGTATTCTTAAGCAGATTTGTGTCGAAATACCTTTTTCTTTTCTTTTTTAACCTTGTGGGGGGGGGGGGGAAAGGTGGGTAGGAAGGGGAGAAGAATCTGTTTAGAATTATTTAATGTTAAATGAATGATAAGGAGATGATATTTGAGCATAATTGTTGACTAGTCCTAGTCTATCACTGAAAATTTCCTAATTTTAGAATTTATTTATGTAGTTATATTTGAATAAAGTTTTGTTTGATCAACATTTTTTTCTTTAAATAAATTATATTTTATTAGTGCGAGAAAGTGAGTGTAAGTAAGAATAGGTGAAATCTTAATGGGTTTGTTGGCGTCTTATTTCGGAGCGTCAATGGTAGAGTTCTACTCCCGACAAGAGTAAACCTGTTTTTCAAAATCCGGGTGACGCTACCAATCCAAATGTACTTCTTTGCCAAGCGATCCTTTCTGTAGAAATTGTTTTTATTTCTTATATATTTAAATAATTTTTGAAAAAATAAGCTAAATTTTATTTAAAAAACCTATTTTTAATAGGTTTTGGAAGTAATACGATTGAAGATCGATGATTTATAATAAAAAGTAGACAAGGAAAATATCGATTCCAGAATATTTTGAATAATATATTACCATTGAAATTTGCCAACAATAAAATGACCTCCTTTTTTTCGGCATTTTTTCATTTATTTTGCAAAAAATAGGTTTTTAATAAAGCAATAATAATAAAATTTCTCGTGTTTGCTATATTGGATCGGTTGGTCGCTTTGGTTCCGTGCAATAAGCTTGGTTCATTCACCGTTTCCTTAACAGGAATAAACCTAATATTTAAAAAAAAGTGAAATTCAAGTGGTCCTCATATGATCCACATGTGGTCCACATGTTTGCGATCTTTTGATAAAAGATGAATTTCGATTACAGCTGATTCGTGAATTCCAGCTAAAATAGTGTCTATTTTCGAATAGCGCGTGTTAATCGAAAAAATACGATAATAGAATTCAGCCATGGTACGATTCAAATGTATTAAGTTGAATTTTTTTATGAGATGATTAGATTAGATGGATGTTGAAATGATTTCATATATATATATATATACTTTACTTATTTTATTTTAAAGCTTTTATCTTTCTGTTGAAACTGATAAGTTGATAAAAAATATCAGTTACAATATATCAGTTGAAATAGAGACATAGTGACGTCGCAAAACTGACTCATTCAATACGATTTTTTTTCGATTTGTCGAATATTTTTTATTAAGCGGTTTAATTTGTCCATGATTTCTTTTTTTAAGAATTTTTAAGAATTCAATATACAATAGTTCTACTATTACCCAAGGAAGCAACGTAAGTACCATTGCTGCACCTTTAAATTTTGCAATAAACCCGTCAAAAATCTTTTTTCTTTATATTATAAAAATATAATTTATGTTATAAAATATAATATTTCGATGATTAAATGCTTAAAAATTATAAGACTCTTACTGTTTGACTTGCAAGTGGCCTTTGAGCTACAAACCTGATTTGATCTATTTTTCCATTGTTCTATTGTATATTTAATTCTTCGATAAACTCACTTCTTTTTTCCTAATTTATTTAATTTTTCTATTTATATTTTCGAAAAATTTGTCTCTTTTTTTGGAATAAAAATTTTTATTAGTTACGTAAATTTCATCACTATCGGAGGAGAAAACTGTTTCGATTACAAATTCAGTTACAATTAGGCCAGTTCGCTCTTATCGAATTTCATATAAATTTGAGGATTTGTTACGATTATTATTGTATTTCAAATAAAAAATGAGCATTTATTATTTTGAGTTTATGACCTTTTTAAAAATGTTTCTAAAAAAGGAACGACCTTCTTGTTTCGTGATCCGCTGGTCCACTGGTGATCCGCAACTGTCCACAAATGGATCGCATTTTAGCAATAAGCAATAAGCAATGTAAGCAAGCTAGTAAAGTTGCGCTTTATTAAATGGACGAGTAAATGCACGAAATGAATGATTGAATAATATTTAGGCAAATAACTAAAATAATATTTTTTAAAGGAATATTTTAAGGATTTTGAGCGGAAAAAAGAGATAGGTTTTTAGGATAAAAGGATTTTCTAGGATCTTATAAATCTTAAATTTTCTTTATTTCAACTTTTTTCTTAAAAATGTAAAAATAAACCAAAAATGTTACTTTTTTTCATTAAATAATTCAATTTTTCAATCATTCATGATGCTAGCAAATTTTTTTCTTCCCGTAATTTTTTTTTTGAATTTTTCTTCGACGACACAATTCTCGTTGGGGCGAACGACGCCGACGCCCTATTTTCTGCTGCCAAAATCAGTCTCGCCATTAGTCTTTTCCTTATCGAACTTCATTTTCATCCTGTTTTTTGGCTTTTTCGCTTACTCCTGCTTTTCTTTTTCTTTCTTTTATTAAACGTTTCTTTTATGCATTTTTGCGATTAGTTCTTTCATATAAATAAAAGCGTTCTAAAATAAGAAATGATTGAACGAGTTCGTTTCGGATGATATTTCGGACGACGACTCTCACTTGTACTTTTTTCGCTAAATGTGA